TCCTTTTTTTTTTTGAAATTCGATATGCTTTACTCAAATATGTTTTAACACAGTATTTGGTATTTCATTTGCATTTAGTAAGCATTCCACTAAAACAACAAAGGCAGCGCAGAACCAGAGTAGAGCAGAGCAGTTGAAGGAATACATCATTGGTGTCCCAGTCCAAAGCTCTTGCAAACAATACTGGCTCGCTTATGACATTATCTTGTTTGCACATGCCGCCTTCATGCTGCAGGATGTGAGATCTATTGCAGAAATGTCCTTCGCTGCTTAAACAGTTTAATGTAGCCACACTTGTTTTACTGACTTCGTTGGTCACTGTTGCATATTTTACATTTCCATCATTTCTTCCACCATTTTTTCCACAATTTCTTCCGCTGCAATGGCTCCTTTTTTCTCTGTGTTATTCGCTACAGATATGCGGTTTGTCTGCAGTCCTTCTAGTCGATTTATACATGATTTTCAGTTGATTTTATTTACTTTTTCTTTTTTTCCACAGTTTTTCTTGCATTTCATTTTGTGATTTAAGTCGTCCTGTCAAAACAAACGAAATGAATCAGAAAAGCTAGAAGCGAGAAAAGCTAAAATTGCATTACTGCGTATTTAACTCCATTTCCGCAATTACTTGGGATATTATTCAATTATGTTCAGATTTCATACAATTCGAAAATTGTTATTTTAATATAAGTGTCATGTAATGCCAATGGAATAGATTGCCAAACAATTGTCTAACAAATTTCCCGAGACTTAACAGGATAAACGTATTGAAAAAGTTATTTTGAAGACAAGAATTATAGTATTCCCTATAGTAATAATAATATATATTGGATGATAAGGGAATGTGAAAATTTCAAATATATTTATAACGATATTTCAAAACAGTCTTTGTCGCAAGTACCTTTTCCACAATAAAAGAATAATACGAACAAGCTGATCACGACTACTACATGTACTTATTTATTTATTAGGAGAAGCCTTTCAATCCTCTTATTATTTTCAAACTGACGCATTCTTCACTGGCAGAGAATTTTATATTGCGGGTGCCAAACATTACACATAATTCAAATCAGTAGTTCTTGAAATGGTTGTATGAGCCAATATAAGACAAATATACAGATATGCCACTTAAAACCGGTTGAGCAATTTTGATTAACTACGACATGAACAATAATAGCCAAGTTAGAATAAAGACCTAAAGGCCTAAAGAATAAAGTAGGCCATGACAAGAATTTACCAAGTTAAATGTAATTAAATCACAGCCTTGTATGCTCGCTTACAGTAGATAATGCTCCCCCATAAATATATCCATACTATTTATCGGAAAGGACTCAAACCATTTTAATAAACTTAATAGCTGATTCTTGACTCTGCATGTGCTATATTAATAAATATCACGAAAAATTGACATTACTGTCGATATTCTTACATGCTATTACCAAGAGCAAACAGTGAAGCCTGAAGCCTGACTAATAGAGGCCCTACCCTAAAGGGGTACTAAAATAGTCCTGGGATAAACAAGATCTCTACAAATGAAGGGAGGGGTCTAGTTCATGAGAGTCTGATGCTGACTATCCAGGATGCTAGACCGAAGTCAGCATTCCCACCCTCCCATTCGCACATAGCACAAAAAAGAGTAAACCATCTATTTAATATTGATTGAAGTTAAACGCTACGAAATGTTTTATTACTTTATTTTGCATCATATAAAAGAAAGCATTGATATGTATAATTTTTAGTCGGTGCATAAAAATGTGACTTAACTTTATATATAACTTTATATACTACATTGAATGTAGCTTTTCATGGTTAGTCTGCGACAACGATATTCGGACAACTACTACTCGTCATTAATAACAAAGCTAGTGGAGTTCCAGAACCCCGCTTTATATACTTTAACTTTATATACTACACTCAATGTAGCTTTTCATGGTTAGTCTCCTACAACGATATACGGACAACTACTACTCGTCATTGATAACAAAGCTAGGGGGGTTCCAGAACATTCAACGATTCTATGAAATAAACAATCCGATAAATTTGCCAGAAAAGAGCCTTTATATTAATATAGCGAAAGTAGGGTCCATATTCCCCTACTTAGGCTATTACGCGAATATGAGGTAACTTATAAATATAGAAGTTATTTGCCATATAAGCAATTATAAGAAAATAGTTATTTAAGAAATTCGCCGGAAAAGGAGTCTTTTTAATTATATAATAGTAGAAGTATGAAAATGTGAAAGAGAGTGTTAAGAGATTCAGAAAGATAAAAAAGATTCAGTTGAAAATGAAGATCCAAGCATATTGCCTTCATATCTAATTTACTTATATCTATCCATTTATCAAAGAAGGAATCTTTCTGATAAACTGAACTGATACTAAAGTACCATTGAATATTTGGACCATTTTATCATGGCTACATTGCATATACAATATATATTCCACAATTGCAATAAACAAACAGACTACTGATGGCATTTCCTTTTTCACTGAAACTATTTTATCAAAAATATTCTGCTTTTTAGATTTTCAACTACTTTCTTTGTTAAAAGAATAATAAATTAAACAAAAACGAAGTGTCAATAAATAATTATAATTAAAAGTACTTTCGAAAACATTTACTAAAAGTTAATAAATTCCAAGATTAAATTATCTATAATTGCTTTTAGAATTTTAATAAAATTATATATGAAAAAGAAAGTCCTTTAATAAAACTCTTTGCTCCCCATTCTTATTTAGGTATTACCTTTTTACTGCTGATGTATACTTTTTTTTACCTTGGAAAATTTTTTCACTTGACATTAAGAACTGTTTGCTATTTTCATTCACAATTCAATAATTAAAAATTGTAATTATACACAAAATATTCAAATTGCATGCGATTTTGAAAAGTTTTAAACACATTCGAATCAAATCAGAGTCACCTTTTCGAGGACGAGACGAGGACATAAATTTTGCATTTTGATTGCGAAAGTTTCCTTTAAGCACTGAAATTTAAGGAACAAAAACAATTGCTCCAAATCACTGCTCGTAATCAAAACAGCATATGTCACCAGTTATAATCTCAGATTTATATACAAAATTACTTCTTCCCCGTCCCTCCTCTACACACACATAATAAAAAGACGCCCAGGGCATATTGTCAACACACGGGGGGAGTGATTAAAATCAATGAATATGTGATATGCAAAAAGTTTCGCTTCAAAACACAAGTTCGCGCGATATGCGAACACGAAGTGTTTAATGAAACAAAAGGTGTGTGTTTAAATGCGAAGGAGTAGGGGGAATGGGAAGAACAGAAAATGGATATTTACTCGTAAAAATAAAGAAAACTTACAACGAAAGCGTTATCCTTCACTACACCAAGGAACGATTGAATTTCAACAAAGAGCCTTACTTAAAATTTATTTTTACGATTATTTGAATAGTCTTTAACATGGCAGATGGATGGAAATATTTCGTAAAGATTTATCAAATCAATTTATTATTTAATATGATTGAAATATCGAGTATACATACTTAATATGATTTACTGGTGCTGTACAGTTTCTCTACCAAACTGTATGTATTGTTTTATGTATTGGTTGCACTGCAAGTAAAGTGCATATTGCCTATCAGGCAGCTAAACGTTGCATTAGTTTATGTTTGCCGAACAAATAAGGCTGAAATAATAAGTGTTTTATATTTAAATAATAAGTGGATTGAAATAATAATTGTATTTGACAACTTTTTCTGCAGCAAATTATCGAATACGAGGCTATCTGAAAAAAGCATCAAGTTAGTCTTAATCGAATTCTTTTCTTATGACTATGTCACAAAATTTTTACACTACTAATTCTAACGATCAAAGGCCACATAATACTTGCCGTCATTAATCCAAACCTAACAAACTTACAGATTACATCCAATCTGTTTAGAGAAAGACAATACTATACAATACTTTTGTCGCATCCTCCTATGCCTTAGACTTAAAGTTCTTGAGTCCGATGTTTTAAATAGCTTATATATCAGCTCCCTTTGTCGTCCAAATACCCTCTTATTTTTGTGAAATATAGAAAGAAAATTTACAGTATAGTAAACTTTTACAGTCTAAATTATGTATATCTTTGAACAAATCACACCATAAAGTTAATTACAGTGAGTTATACTCGTATATATTAGCTTTTAATATGTTCTTTTAAAAAATTTAAAAAAATATAGTGTAGCGATATTTTCAAAATTAAAAAGAGAATGTTTAGCAACCATAATATCTCATAACGAAAACTCAATTAATCTTACTCATATCTTCATGAAGGTCGAAAATATATTGAAGAATTCCAACGATTCCTTTGAGGATGAAAACGTGGATAATATTGGACGGGTTGCACTTACTAGTAAAAGAATTGCTATAACAGACAGTGAGGAACGTCAATGATAGTAAAAAGGAAAAAATTAAACAGACCGCATTTGCTAGTAGAAGAATAATTATGAAGAAAAGAGCTATAAAAATCAGAGTATAATATAGCTCAAATGTAGCCATTTTTAGAACATGAAAGGTTCAGAACATGAAATTAGAATATAATATATGACTCATAATATATGATATAATATATGAACCAATTTTAGAAATATTAAAGTCATGAAGAGGAAAATACTTGAGCAGTAAAGTTTGTACCGATTTGAATTGGATAAGATACTCAAAAACTCGTTGCTAAGTATGATATCACTATGATTGGGCAACAAACCTATTGTCGAAACGTGACACAATAGGACTGTTCTATATTTTTCACACTTAGAAAGGGATAGAGAATATCATTTTTAAACATATATACGGGTAAATAAGATATTAGCGAAAGTATGGAATGAGTTGATTAAAGTTGGAATACCTAAAAAGCATTCCAGCAATGTTTCTTAAAATTGATTACTTCTTGTCACGATTGTGCTAGAGAACTACTACGGCATATAAAAATTTAATATTCAAAAATATGTAAACAAATATATTTTTTTAAAAAAGTCACATAAAATAAATGTCAAATAAATGTCAAAAAACGAAAACTTAATAGCAAATATATAAAGTAAACTGGTACAGAATATATACATCAAATATCACTATATCCATAAAAAATAAATATATCCTTTCATATTTGATCTTCTTCGCTGGCTTCTCTAAAAAGTTCAGAAGTCTTCAAAAGTTTTAAGAATGCTGGCGAAAAATCAGTTTTCATTTCCTTAAGCAAATCTAATTCATTAGTATCTGCTCTAATCTTTTGACTATCAATCGAATTCCGTTTACGTCTCTCTAACAGCACATCCTGATCCACTTTCAATTTATGCAAACTCAAAAGATTGCTGAGTAAATCATCACGTAGTTCAACCACCTGATCTTGATCTTCCTGTGGCAATTCTTCATATTGTTTTAATAATTTTTTTACTATTCTGGATTTTTCTTCAATTTTATTTGGATCTAATGAACGTATTTGTTGTGCAAAATCTGCATCAGTTTCCCTATCGGTATTATCACGTTTATCGCGACCCTTCTCATTTTCTTTTGAAGTACGCAAGATCAATTCGTAAAACTCTACTAAATCCGGACGTAATGATACACAAGTATGAGCACGTACTTCTTGATCGACAATACTGTTAATGGTTTCCATCACCTTCTTCAGTAATCTTTCTGTTTTCTGTACTTCCATTTCATTGTCCTTTAAATGCAATCATAAAACAGTGTTAAGTTGCAGAAAAATTTAAAGTGGTGCTCGAATGATAATTTATTTATTTGTGAATTGTTATAATATACTTACTTGATTTCTTACAGGATACAAACTGTCCATTTGTTTTTTTATAAACCTATTACGCCTCAAGCTAGGCCAGAGTACTTTCAGTTTAGGATTTGTACGAACCATACTAAATACGGATTTTACAACTTGAGTGGAAACTTTACCATTCAGCATACCCTCAAGTGGATTGTCATCATCGCTGCTTAATAAAATATTAAAAAAATTTATATATATATAATAAAAAAAGATTTTGTTTCATTTTAATCATGGGGAAGATAGTTTTGAAAAATAAATAATAATAATAAATAATAAATAGAATTAAATAAAATAAAGTATAATTAAATAATATAAAAAAATTAAAACAAATAAAATACAATCAAATAATATATAATAAAATAAAATAAAATAAAATAAAACATATTAAAATATAACAAAGAAATTTTATTTTGTTTTCATATTAATGCTGAGAGAATTTCGAAAAATAAATTATGAATAAATAAAATTAAATAAAATAAAAAAAATAATATAATAAAAAATTAAACAAATTAAAACATAAAAAAGAGATTTTTTATCATTTTAATATTAGTACGAAGATAAGGAAGATTATTACTAACAGCGTTCAAATATTGTATGACTTCATTGTAATATATAATATCTTATACGTATATAAAGTATAATTTAAATTAATATTTCTGAAGAATAAATATTTTCCATTATTAAAAATTTTACCTTAATAATTTTAATTTAAATACACTTAACTAACAAACACAATTAAAAAAAAATATAATTACAACAACAGTTTTTTAAATATTTTAAAATAAATCGATTATTACCAAATTGCTTACTAATTTTTATATTTAATACAAATTAACATCAGTCAAAAATTAACGAAACCAGACACTATACTCACCAATCTGATTTTCGCTTATTATTATTGTTATAACGCTTAAGGTCTCTTCTGTTACGTTCTTCGATATGTCCTGGTTCCACATTAATTGTGCCGTTACCAAAATAGTTTTTCGCTTTTTGATCACCCAGAACGCTTGCATTAATTGTAATATTAAGCTTCATCATATCCTTCTTATTCTTTGCATCAGATGTTTGATCTCCTTGATCAGGTTGATTTGGCTGAGCAGCATTATTAGTACTTTCTGTTGGCACAGCCAATACGCCAATATTTATTACTTCCTCCTTAGGCGCATTACTATCTGAATTCTTGCCTTCATTTGCTTTACCATCTGACTTGGCTTTAGCATCTGACTTTGCACCATTTTTATCGTCTTTCGTGTCTTGTTTTGAGTCTGCTGCAGATTCATTTGCCTTTGCTACACCTTTTAAAAATTTTTCTAAACTGGCAATGCTTGTGCAATTAAGTATCTGATCACCTAAAGATAGCACTAAGTTTTTATCCTTTTCCTTTTTTTCGCTTTTTGCACTGCTACGTTTACCTTCGTCTACAAACTTTTGATTGATATTAGAGACATACTTGCTGAGATCATCATCCAACTCACCACCCATCGGAGCATTGGTATTTTTAGAAGCTGCTTTATTATTGTTTTCATTCTGGTCGTACCATAAGTTATCAAATTTTGAACCATCAAACTTAGCAGCATTTTGATCCTTTTGTTTAAGATTGTCAAACTCTTCATCGAACTCTTTGGCTTTTTCACTTAAATCATATGGTTTTTTTTTACGTTTTCGTCGTTCCTGTTGTACTTGTCTTTCTTGTATGTCCTGTCTTTTTTTATGTTGCCGTGCTTCTTCTTCTCTATGTCCGGCGCCCTGCCGGTATTCAGCCAATTGATCGGCATACTTATGTATAGCACTGTTATTATCTTCTAATTCATCGAAAGCGGGTACCTCGCGTTTACTTATCACATGCGCTACTGTTGTATCATTAACGTCTGCATCTTTTGTATTAGTTTTGTGTATGAAACGTTTAACTCTTCGCAAAGGAATAGTGCTATCCACATTTATGTTATTCTTTTTTTCTATATTTGCTAACACATTTCGAATATTACTATTCTTCGTCGATCTTCTAAATCGTAGAAATTCACTATCTTCATTAGTTTCAAAACTATCGAAGTCTCTATTATCTCTAATTAACTCATCTTCAGAAAATACATGTCGCCTAGATCTTCTCAATATTGGCCTCTTATAAGGACCAATATTATCCAAGGTCATTAATTTCCAAGCATCACCGTAATTTTCATCTCGTTTGGTCTTTTTTGAATTCTCACTTTCTTCACCTATTTGATTTTCAAGCGAGGTATCAGCAAAATTTTTATGTAGTAACTCATTTTGCCGATACCTTCTACTGTTTTCTACATTTTCTGTACGCTTGAATCGACTTCCTTGTTCTTCAGTAATATCGTCATTATTGTATGAATTCACCTCATTAGTTGCTTTCTTTTGTTCATCCTTACTGTTTTTCACAGGAGTACAACGTTTTTGTTTCTGTTCACCAATATCAATTTCTGGTTGTTTTTTAATCTCTCCTTTTGCAACATTGACCTCGACATCTTCCGACAATGATGCCGGATTACCTTCTTCTAAATGACTTTCCACCAGATTTGCTTCTTCGTTTACATTTGTTTTTTCTTTCAAATTTGCGTTCATATTAAATCTCACACTATCGCTGTCATGAATACCTTGCTTTTCTTCTCCTACAAGCTGATTATCACCCGAAATTTTCACCAGCTCCGGAAATTGATTTAAACGTTTGAAACGTATATAATCTTGATTATTGACGCCATTAACATACATCAATTTCTCTATTTCATCCAAGGCATCTATATTCTTCCGTTTATTATCATCTTCCTTTAGTTTAGCACTCGATCCTTTTTCTAAACGCTTGACCACATCATCTATGAACATTTCATGCCTGACTTCACTCAAAGAATTGCTTGGCAAAGATGGACCCATACCTTTACGCATTAAACGATGACTTGTTTTTAATTTAATTTCATTCATAGGATTAAAATTATTGGAAGTATAGCTACGTTTATTAAAGGTATTCTTCCAGCCGGGCTTGATTTTCTTCTTCTCTGCCGCATCTTGCTCCACTTTTGATAACTTGTAATTTGCTTCATGTGAATAATCAATTTTATTCGGTTCATAGGAAGTAACACTGGGAAAATGTATATTTTGTATTGTTCTTTCATAGGAAAATGGATTTGGATCAACATATTCTTCATCTTCTTCTTTCTTTTCTTTCTTTTTCGGCCTAAAATTCAGAGTTACATCTTTTTCAATATCGAAACTATTTAAAGGGTTCGTAATGCTAAATAAATCAGTATTTGCTCCACGACTTTCTTGATGTTTCGTTTCAAATGGACTTGCTAAAATACTATCAATATTATCTGTGTAATCTACACTAAAGCTTTTTTGATTCGATTTTTCAATATCATTGAATATATCGTTAATATCAGTTTTCTTTTTTTTCTTCTTGTTTGAGTAGTTCCAATTGCTAAAACCATCGCTGTTTTTAAGCTCTTTTGCACGAAGCTCACGATACCAGCTATCACCATTTTCCAAATCATCTGCAATATTGACTTCTCGTTCAAAATTTGCGAGCAGATCATCAATCGTACGTCGTCGCTTTCGCAATAATCGATCATCATGATCTCCAACTATACTCTTAATGTCTTGTAACTCATTTTTTGCTTCATCGAAAGCTTTGTGAAAGTCTTTAAGTTGATCACTAATTGCAGATATCATACATAAACCGAAACTTAAGAACAAAATTGTAATTATAAATTTATCACAATAAAACATTTCATACTATTCAGTTGTTAGAAAAATCCATTTTGAAGATTTATGTTTAAAAGATTAATTTTTTTCTTAAATATTTAATTTTGAACATTTAGACAGTAAAGAAATCTGTTGCTATTTTTATATCTGTTAGGATTTAATTATATTTTTTTGAATGATATGCATATTTATTCGAAGCTTGTTACATATGTCAATGGAACTCTTATTACAGTGGATTATCCAGTTGTCACAAACACTATTGAATAAAATTCTTTAGACGCTAACTCGAGTTTAAAAAGGAGAAGAAGAAGAAAGGGGGCATATGTTTTTAAACTTTCTGAAATCCATTAATATGAGTCTTTACTTTACTGGAACTAAATAAATTTACCAATTTTGGCAGTTATATAATAAACTAAGATAAGTATCAAATTATTAAAAATATGACAAGAGTCATGGTATAAAGATGTTATCAAATTACTAAAAACATGACAAGAGTCATGGTATAAAGATAAATAAACCCACTATTTCCTAATAAAATAAATGAAAAGGTAATATATGAATAACTAGAGAACATATGCTAACTCTATATTTATATATTGCATACGAAACTTCATTGCCAACTAGATCCTACCTCTTTAATACATTTTTATGAACGCGGTCTTCACTACTGACTCATTAGGCAGTCTCCAAGTGACTGCTTGACAAATTATAGGATGAAGACTTTCTACCTTCTTCTGACACAAGAAAATCTGATAAGATGTAATGAGATAACTAATATTCTTTCAATTATACACTGTATTCTGTCACATATAAATGTAATTTTTTCCGATAAACATTAATTCGAATTGACCTATAAAAAAACTCAGCAACCTTATCTTGGTATTCTCGTAAAGAAAGACGCTTGTTTATATTTTTATGGAATTCTCGAGAGAGTCGGACAATTACACAGCAGATGTTCCAGAGTTGCTTGTTGCATTTCCTACAAGCATCGCTAAAAATTAAGTTCTCTACAGTTCTAAATGAAATAATATTTTCAGTTTTTGTCGTATAAATATCTACACATGATCCTAGCACTTCTACAGGTGGTTAAGTTTCGCTATCTTTCCTTTACTTTCCTTTACTTGTCAAGCGTTAGTCCAGGAGTTTATGTATCTGTTTTAGAGTTCTGAGTACTTCACTTGTTTTTTCCTCTGAAATTCTTGTGGCAGTTTTAGCAAATGCATCAACTGTTTCATTTCCTTCTATGCCTTTCCTTCTATGCCTTTCCTTCTATGCCTTTATAACCAGGAATTCGGTATATACAAAGTCTGCGGTTGCAGACCAGTCTGGCTATAGCTTCCTTGCATCTACATCATTTTTGGATGTTGACCAGTTTGATTTAATTGCTTTAATAGCTTCTTGGTTGTCCACAAAGAAATTTATGCAGTAGTTTTTTGTTTCATCCATACACAGGAGTTTTGCTGCCTTTTTAACAGCACAAATTTTTGCTTTGAACTCGCTAGAGAAATCAGGAAGTTTGACTTCCTGTTAAACTCCTAAACTCGCTGTAGAAAAGTTTATGCTCAATTTCGCACAGTAGACGCAAGCTCTACGAGTTGGCGACGACTACCGCATTAGAATGAACCACGCGCTGTACGAGCTTTATCACGACATTGATATAATTCAGCGCATTAACATCCAGCGGCTTCGCTGGCTTGGTCATGTCGTGAGAATGGATGAAGAGGCTCCGGCAAAAAAGGTGTTTGAAGCAGTAGTTGGCGGAAGAAGACGTAGAGGTAGACCGTGTCTCCGGTGGAGTGATCAAGTTGAGGGAGCACTAACTGGACTTTATATACGAGACTGGAGAAGGCGCGCACGCAGCAGAGGCGCCTGGGGAGACATGCTGCGTCAGGCCGAAACTCGGTAACGGGTTGTTATGGCCACATAAGTAAGTAAGTAAGACGCCAGCTCCCACTCCTGCTTTCATCTCAAAAGTTCAAAAAATAACATATAATAATTCTATATAATCGTTCTAATATAGCACAGTTAGTGAATTTGTTCATAAACTTTCACAGAAAACTCACAAAACTTGAAGTTAGTATAATACAAGTGAAGTACATCTTTGGGTCAGAGCCAGTATATTTACGAATTATAAACTATAAGAAAGAATTCGAGAAGACTCTAATGGTGATGAATATGTGGCAATATGCGAAAAAGGTAGTTAATTATTCAATTCAAATTGAATTAATTAAAAATAAAATCGTATTAAATTTTACTGTTTAAAAATATATTCTATTCAGAGACAAATTTTATTTAACTTTAAGCAACAGGTATTTTATTGTAGTATTAAAACCTACGCGATTTCTTAGTTTTAAATCCAAACTCCATTAACTCTACTCAGATACACAAATAACTCTAAATTTTTGAATGAACTTATATTAAATTAAAAATTTTATTTCATTTTATATAATAAATGAATAGTAATTTTTTTGATAAATTTTTAATTGAAACTTTCTTCTTATTTTAGTTTTGATAAGCAACAGGTATTTTTATTTTCGCAACTTTGTATGTTAGGTGCCCCGAGCCTCTGACTCAATACAAACTGTTGAATTTAAAACTTTGACAATGCTTCCGCAATGTGGTTTAAACAATGGTACAACAAAATATTATTTTGTATTATTACACTTTTGAACAGAAACTCAAAAACTTTGAAGGTGCATAGATTCAAATATAGATATTAACTCCATCCTGATAGTGACAGCAACTTTTGTTTGCAACAACTTTATACTACGAGTACTAACTACGTGTATTTTTATTTTAACTTCATTCGATACCGAACTCGTATGTTTCGTTTGGTTTTACTTTCATTTCCGACATATGCTTGAAGTTGTCGCCGCATAACAACGTTTCCTTATTTCCTTTAAAGAGTGTACACAGGATAGGATCCTATCGAATAGGTATCAGGCGCTAGTTATGAAACATGATATGCTTGTTAGGCTGGAAACTGATTGCCATTTGCTGTTTAACACTCTGAACAAATATTGTCAATGATAAATGATATTCAAAAAAAGTTTTTTTCATTATAATTTCTTATTTCTATTTTACATCGAACAATAATCAAGGCAAACAATCGCCTACAACTCACACATGCCACTCTCATAGGTACTACATATATGGCATATGAAAGTTTCATTTGATTTCTATACAATATACAATTTTTAACAATAAATATATTACAGCCTATGATTCAAAGTGTCTACAGGCCCATCCAGCTACAAACATCAAACGCGTAACTTTTGTCAGGATTTTTATTTCCTGTTTTTGTCCTATTATTTTTATCCTTTTTCTTCGTCTAACTTTTATCGTATGGAAAATGATAAACTTGCTGAAATGTAAATGTTTTATTTCTGCATTAATAAGTTTTCAATGCAACACAAACTTTAAATAAGTTTGGAAACAATAAAATGTTTCTATTTTGTAACTTCGTCTCTTCGCCTCTGCGCCTCTACGGCTCTTCCTCATTAATTTCATTTGAAATTGTAGTTAAAATGGAACAAAACATCCAAACAATGGCACGCAGTGCGTATGAGCAACGTTAATTCGATTGTGCTTAAGTGACTTAATTAAAATCATCAAGTAGGAAAGCGATTGGAAAGTGATGTTTTCAACTTTTGTGCTAACACGATTAAATTTCATTACATATTACAGTATCAAGTTCTGATTCCTCACAATGTACATAGAACATACATTTCAATCAATTTGTACGTCAACTATAATATATGTAATGTAGGTATATTGTATTGTAGCGTTGTACACATTGTTCATATGAAAGTTTCAATGGAAATTTTGTTAAGAGCAGCTAACAAGGTTCTTCTGAACAATAAGTTTTCCATCGTCAAGTGTGTAAAATAATAGAAACTTAATAAAACCTTTGAGATTATCTCAAATCGTATACTTGACAGATATTTTATTAATAAATAGGTTAGTGAATACTAACCTAAATATTGTAATTAACAATTATTTTGTAATTATTATTTCATTAGAACTTCTACAAAGATAATTGAATTTAAATAAATTACAAATTGAAATAAATGAATCTAATAAAATGGCAACGATATAGTAAAATAGTAAAATAATATAAAAAAGTCTTAGGCTAGAAGAACTAGAAGTTAAAAAAACACGCAAAATTTTAATTCATAATAATTTTCTTTATTATCGCTTTCAAAGTACTCTCCTCCTGCGGCAATACATGCATGCCAACGCTTGATCTAGTTTTCCATACAAGTTTTAAAGGCCGCCGAAGGTATTGGCTTTAGTTCACGCAGCGAATTCTCTTTTATGGCCTCTATGGTCTCAAAACGCGCTCCTCGCAATGACAATTTGAGTCGGAGGAAGAGGAAAAAGTCGCACGGGGCCATTGATGATATTGGTGGAGCTTTTGGCCAAAAACTGCGACACAACCAACGCTGTGTGAGCCGGTGCGTTAGCGTGGTGTAAAATCCATGAGTTTTCCTTCCATAAATCTGGCCTCTTTTTGCGTCGTTTTCTGGCCTCACGCAAACGTCCTCACCATTTGACCATCCGAAAGAAATTCATAGTGCACCACACCACAAATATCGAAGAAAACAGTCAGCATAACCTTGATTTTGGACCGACTTTGGCGTTCTCTTTTCGGTTTCGGCTCACCTTCAAAGCACCATTCGGTATTCGGTCGATAGATCCATGTCTCATCAACAGTTTTGATGCGTTCGATGAATGTGGGGTCACTATCTACATTGGAAATCATCTACATTCCAGATTTCATATGAACCACACTTTAAAAACTATTTCATTTCTGTTTTTATGCTGTAAATGATTTTCAATCATTCAAAAATCGTTTAATTTTTTTTCTTCATGGGTTTATTTATTAAATCTTTCTAAAAAGAAATTGACAATAATTTTGTTAATTTTAAAAAACTAACATGTATGTTATTGAGCTAAGGTATTCATATTTATCAATGATTTTCTTTTAAGGCGGTTTAGTGCAATTACCAAAGATTAATGTCGAACATGAGGATTTGGATGCGACTTGAGTGTCTCTCTGA